TTGCGGGGTTTTTGATTGATATTTTCCAAAAGTTGGTTATACGATCATATATTTATCAAAAACAAGAAAAATATTTTCTTTAAGAGGAGTGGGTTTTTCTTTTTCTAGGCAATTCACTCTTGTCTCTTTCATAACCTTCTCTGTCTCATCTACCCACAATAAAAGATGGAAAATTTTAATATATTTGAGGTTAAAAATTAAGCCAATCTAATGTATTTAATTAATAATTTTCATGAAAATAATTTTAGATAATTTAATTGCTTATAACTTATTTTCTTCATGCAATTTACATGCTTATAATAAAACACGTCCTTAATGTCACGTTGGATACTAAACTTTAATTTGTTACAATTCATTATTGAGCTTTAGAAAATGTAACATTCAAGTCAATGATTCGATTTAACATCCATTTTTAATCGAAAATCCTACATTGCGCATATGACAGGTCGTCAAACTTTTTGTCCATATGATTTATATTGAAAAAATGAATGCCAAACTTAATAGATGGTCTGACTAAAATATTTTGTAAAGTTTAATAGTAAGTGTGAAATAACTTAAAGTTAAGTGACTAAAGTGGAAAGTACTTAACCCAATTTTGAGATTTTATTGTAATAATGAAAACCAAAAGTGGCCAGAAGAAATATTGAAACAATTAGGGGACGTTAATGCAAACAATTAAACTCTTTCACTTAACTTTGGCCATTCATCTCATTTTTATTGCATCGAAGAAAAACCCTAGCCACTTCCAAACCCAAATCCAAAGCAGTGATGGCGGTGGAGGCAGCAATGCAACCGAGCAAGGTGAGGTGGGGGGAGTTGGAGGAAGATGATGGAGAGGATCTGGACTTCCTGCTGCCGCCGAAGCAGGTGATTGGTCCTGATGAGAACGGGATAAAGAAAGTGGTGGAGTACAAGTTCAATGAAGAGGGCAACAAGGTGAAGATCACCACCACCACCCGCATCCGCAAGCTCGCCAATGCCCGCCTCAGCAAGCGTGCCGTGGAACGCCGCTCTTGGTCCAAGTTCGGCGACGCTGTCCATGAAGACGTTGGCAGCCGCCTTACTATGGTTTCCACCGAAGAGATCCTCCTTGAACGTCCCCGCGCTCCAGGTAGATTTTGTATTCGCTTATATATATTCTTGTACGCGTCGTACTTGCTTTTTAGGATTAGATGTAATTGAAACGAGTTATGAGAATTTTAGAGATGAATCCGAGGTACTTCTGAAATGGATTTTAGAAAGTTTGGAGATTAATTCGTCTTAGGCGTGATTGAATTTGTATAATTTTGTTTCTCGTTTTGCAATTATTTATGGACATTTTAGAGGTGAATCCAAGGTGCTTTTGAAATGGGTTTCTGAAAATTAGAGCTTTATTCATCTTAGGTGTGATTGAATTTGAATGATTTTGCTTCTCGTTTAGAAATGAGATTATGCTAGAGGTGAATTTGATGTGCTTTTGTGGCAGTCTGATAAGTGACGGGGTTTATTATGATTGTTGAAAATGGGGATAAAGATGTGGAACTCATGGGATTTATTAGATTTTTTACCAGAAAAGTTGGGAAAAGGTACAAAGTTTATATTAAACAACCTTTCGTCACATATACTACAATACACTGTTTTCGGTAAATTAATTGATGTTTTATTCTCAACCCCTAGGTAAACATGCTTTAGAGATTGCTTACCATTAGCTCTAGTGGGTTTAATAACTATTGTTTATCCCCATTCTCCTAGGTATCAACTAATAATAATCTCCTCAAGGACAATGCTTTCCAAACATATGCACCTAGGGTCAGGAAATTTTCTATCTTAACAAAGGAACATGAAAATCATTAGAGTTGTTATGGTTTGACAGTGCTATGCACTATGGCATGTTGATAATCATACTTTTCATGATGAAAATTTACCACTGCATGGTTTACTTATTTTTCATACTTTGGTATCATTGTCTTTCGTGCTTCTTTTTATTTTTTTGTAAACTAATAACCTTAATTGGCGATGTCAAATATTAGGGCAAATTTGTTAATGGTCTGTGTCAGTTGTTTTTGTTTCTGCAAAAGACTTCTAATTCTTCAACGTTATGTCACCTTTGACGTATTGATGTGTTAGTTTTACATTAAAATAGTGATCAGTTCTTGACAAAGTATTCCTATCATCCTTGATTGGATTTCTCGTGATTTTGATTTTACTTGCATTTCTTTAATTTAATAACTTGCATGATTATTTGCTGAATGTGAAGAATTGATCATAAATTAAGAGAATGGAAACTTATGTGGTTGAGGCATACATTTTTGTTTGCTTTTTAAAAGGCTCCAATTCACTAAAATAGTTCAAAAGTTTGATAGGTGGATTGAAATTAACGTAGTTTGATGATTTTGTAAAGGAATTGGTTCATTAGATCTTTCACTACACGTAGCGATGGATTGAAGTGGTGAAAAATGATTCATCTCTACAATTTCAAATTTTATGGCAATGAGCTTCCCAAGGTTTCAAGAGCTGACAAGAATGAAGATACATCTTGGACAACTGGCGATGAAAGTTCCACGACTGCTGAACCTGCTGGTGCTGATCGTCTTGGAGAACCTATTTTCTCACTTCAAAGCCCTAAGAAGGATAACTAAGTGATTCAAAAGGTCCTTTTAGTATCTTGATTTTTGAGCTAGTCTAATTTCTAGAAAGAACTGACAATTGCATTGGTTCTTTTGCTTGAGATTCCATATACACCATCTTACAAGAACGATCGCTGTTGATGACAACTAAGGAGTTGAGAATGCTAATTCTGTCCTAGTAATGTTCATTTCATATTGTGTGGCAATTCATATTGATAATGACAATGCGTCGACAGAAATTACAAGAATGAATAAAGACAATTTAGATAGAGAAAAAGAATCTGAATCATATTTAAGCATTTCAAAAATCAAGATACTAAAAGGACCTTTTGAATCACTTAGTTATCCTTCTTAGGGCTTTGGAGCGAGAAAACAGGTTCTCCAAGGCCATCAGCACCGGCAGGTTCAGCAGTCGTGGAACTTTCATCGCCAGTTGTCCAAGATGGATCTTCATCCTTGTCAGCTTCTGAAACCTTGGGAAGCTCATTGCCAGAATTTTTTTGTTGTTTTTCATTTGCATTGCAATTTTTACTCGAACTTGCTTATTGATGAATGGTTAGGTACCAAACAAGAGGAAACTAAGGTTGCTGGCGATCCTTTAGCTCAAATGGGGAAAGGAGGAGCTGTTCTCATGGTTTGTCGGAGCTGTGGTAAGAAGGGCGATCACTGGACATCAAGGTGCCCATACAAGGATCTTGCTCAACCGAGTGAGAGCTTCACTGATAGACCACCTTCGTCAGAAACTGCTGCTGCAACTGGTGCTACAAAGGGAGCATATGTTCCTCCGAGTATGAGAGGTGGTGGTGCTGAGAGGGTTGGTGGGACTGACATGAGACGCAGGAATGATGAAAATTCTGTTAGGGTCACCAACCTTTCAGAAGACACACAGGAGCCTGATTTGCATGAGCTATTCCGTCCTTTTGGTAATGTCAGCCGAGTTTATGTTGCCGTTGATCAGAAGACTGGCATGAGCAGAGGTTTCGGTTTTGTCAACTTTGTGAACAGAGAAGATGCTGAAAGAGCTATTAACAAACTTAACGGGTATGGTTACGACAGTCTTATCCTTAGAGTTGAATGGGCGGCTCCTAGGTCAAACTAGTTCTCTCCCTAAAATCATCAAGTTGCTGTATTCGGCCCAAATGAAGAATTATCCGAGCTTCCGAGTGAGATTATTACTTGGTCTCGTCAATAATCATGCTTATGTTTTTTGTAGTATTACTTGCATTTGATAGAAATATTATTGATGCTTTTTCAATGTCTTACAAGGATATTTTATGTATAAAAGTTGCCATGCCTTGCATTGGCATTGGTTATGGTTTCCTGGGATTAGTTTATTAGCGTTTTATATGCAATCCATCAGTAACAAAGTTCAGTGGCCATCAGACGGCTGCTGAACTTTCTACTTTGTGTTGCCGTGGTTACTGAACTTGCCCAATTCATTTTCAATCATATATTTAATGAGATCTATAATTTTTAACAACGTATTTCATTATTTTTATCAAAATTTACTGATTTTTATCTTAAACCAAACAGGGCGAAATTCGATTCAATAAGTCACTAACTTCAACAGAGTTTGACGGTGACATGTAATCAGACGGGGTAAATTTCATTTGTGGTCTGTAAATTTCAATTTGGTATCTATATATTTTAATTTATCTTAATTAAGTCATTGAATTTCAACTTAATTTTAAACTATCTAAACATTTATTTAGTTTCAAATTTCACCATTTCAACCATCTGCGATCTCTCAAATGGATGAATATCGTTTAATTGGCTGTCGTATAAAACAGGGTTTCCACGTAATCGCGACATATTATGTTAATTTACTTCTACACCACATTATGAAAGTATTAAAAAATAAGAAAATAGGAATTTTAATCTTTTATTCTAAAGACAATGCAATAACCCTCGTTTTATCATTTTCGTTTCAAGGGTGTGTCACTTATCGATTACACGAAAGATTATTTGGATTTTTTTATGCGCCTAATGTGTTGGGAGCGTCCCGACAACTTTATACCTAGTTCTGTATAAAATCACCTAAATTATATACGATCCTCGAATTTCTCCACTATAATGTAGACAATTTCTGTATGTTTGAGAGAACGAATAACAAATTCGAGACAACATATATTAACTCAATAAAGAGTTGTGAAACTAGAGAAATGAACAAGGATAAATGAAGAAAAAGGAAACTTGTTGATGCTTACAAAAGATAAATTTGCTGTCTCTCTCAAACTCCCAACTGAAGACAAAGTGACAATATACCTATGTATGTCTGTCTAAAAAATTTTACAATCCTATTTCATAATTCATTGACCATTTGATCAACACCTCGTAGTTAGTTGATCTTCCTTGAACTGCTGAACATCAGTGTGTACCGGCTCCCTCATTTGATCAGGGCACTATTTCATCTTCTAAGCAATTACGGAGCTTTATCTTGGTAGTATTTGTGCCTGTTATATGCATAACGTCGCAACATTCTCTTCTATTTCCAATCTGAGAAAGAAAGAAAAAGACGCGTTATAAACAACTAGTTGATTGGTTGTCTAATCTTATGTAGAGAGAGACTCACTGGATCATGTTTCCATGTAGGGGAAAGAACATATATTTTGGAGACGTTATTAGCAGAATTATTTCCCATCGAGGAGCAAGGTGGCCTTCTCCTACTATAGCTTGTAATGAAATAATCCCGGCTTTTATTTTCCACAGAATCAAAGAAAAAGAAATGTCGAGCTTTACAACGATTTTTGGAGGGAATTCTAGTGTTAAAAAGGAATAAAGGCCAGACGTATTTGCTCCAAGGGGTAAATGTCTGGAGGGGTCTCTGGAGCATGCTTGGAAGGAAGATGGATTCATAAATTTGCACTGAATAGCCCCATGATATGGAGAAGCTCCAATTTTTGGTTTTGTGATAGCATATGCTTTGCTGTAGTAGCCTAGACTCATCTGTTTTCGCCGCTTCCATTAGATGATTCAGCGATTCATACTGGTTCTTGTAAGGAAATATTGGATTGACATAATCGAGATGGTGGAGGGATACAAGAGGAGACTGTGGATGTGCTGATAGTAGACCTGATATGTCACTGTGTACATCAACCTGAAAAGGGAGAAATGAGTGGAACTTGTTATTTAACGAGGTCGTTAATTTATCAAATACAGCTCGAACTCTACACATCGACAGAAATTTACAGGTTTAAGTATGAATATAATGTGGCTAATCAAGAAATTGGCCTTGGAAAAATGTGGTTGGTTGGTTGGTTGATATACAGTATCTAAGGACGTTATTTCAAAAAAAAAGTAGGACACGAAACGCTATGTATTAGATTGAGACTTTTTACCTGATGGAACCCTTTTTCAGGAGTGAGAGAGACACCCAAATCAGCCACACATGACTGCAAAATGTGGTCACTTCCATATAGAGTTGGATATCTCTTTATACAGACATCCAAATTATTCACCAATGCCTTAGCAAGAGGAAAACTCAAAGCATATCCAGCCCCACCAAAAGCCATATTAAATGAGTGATAAACATTTGACGCATGGCTTTCTGAATTCATTCCAATGTAAAAGTACTTGTTGTGATCGTATCTTGCAAGAACATCTGCCAAATTGTTGATGAAAAAAACTGTGTCATCATCTGCCAAAACGTACCATCTTACGCCTTCGTTTTCTGCATTAAATGTCTCTAAGATAATGTGTGTCATTCTAATAGCCTGTGGGATTGGATGCATATCATATTTCTTGTATCTAGAAGTATCCTGGTAAATACGAAAGGGAGGCGAAGAAGGTGGCCATGGAAGAAACTTTCTAGGAAATATATCCATGAAAATGTAGCCTCGAGTTATATTTGGGCGCCACCATGTTTCAACATACCATCTTCTGTTCCTCCATGTCTTGGCTGAGCCCGCTATACCAAAAACGACATGGCTAAGATTGGTGGTAATGAAAGGAGGATCGGAATATTTGGGATCTTTCGGCCTTAAAGCAGTAAAAAGGGTGGATGAGTAGCAACATGGATGGTCGGACAAGATATAGAAAATATACAGGATGAATCCAGAAATTGCAAGTGCCTTGCCCAACTTAATAGATACATCAGATAAATTAGTGAATTTTTGTTGAATAAAATTGAATTTTGAAACAATGATCATAGACATTGAGAAGAATGAAAATGCAAGACAAAAGAAAATAGAACAGAAGCAATCTGTTTACAGAAGAAAGAAGAACCTTATGTTTTCTACCTCTTAAAAAATACCAACATGTTTCTTTCCGTGTGTTGCTGATAATTCATGTGATGTGCCATGGAGCATTTGCCCTTCTAACTTGCTTTTCATGCTGAAGGAAGAGACTATAGCATTCTACACGCCACCAAGGTTTTGGCCTTTTTTGCTAGCCGAGCCGGTGGCTCGTTCCATTTAATACCCCTCCATAGTATAGTAATTTAGGTTTCTTTATCAAAGGTTGATTATTCTCTCTTGGAGTGACTATATTGTTGGCTGTTGCACCACATTTTACTTGTACTGAAGATTCTTAATTTTTTTTACTTATTATCATATTTATGTTCCCGACTTTTTTCTTAGCATTCTTACCTCCAACCTTTTATTAATTAGCACATATCATCAATGACGGAACATTCTTTTAAGAGGATGTGAAAAGACTTACTTGTCCATCACATTTTTAAATAAGTAAAAATGTAATTAATGCTATCGAGATCCCGTTTGACCTATAATTCAAGCTCTAATACAAAATATTGTCTAATCGATCATGTACTATTTAGTCTTTATTAATCTCCGTTCATTCTTCTAAAGACGGGAGACTTTCTCCTCAAATTATATAAAATCACACGAGCTTATATTATTTCATAACTATATCATTTGACCTACGAGATTATGTCTTGTCCTAACTAGAAATTCGATTAATAGAATTGGCTAAAATGGCGATTTTGCCCTTCTCGGTGGGTAAATTAGGACTAAGCTCCCTAACCTTTTAAGTAGTGATCATATATGGGTACCCAACCTTCAAAAATAATATTTTGGGTCTCCAACCTATTTTAAATCGTATATGCTACTTTAAGTTGAATTGGAGGTAAATGTTAAGTGGTTTGAAAATTATGCCCTCTAGTTGTGAGTCATATAAAAATCACGTACAATTTTAATATCTATATTGATGGTTTCGATCACCTAGGAACCCAATTTGACCAATTTAAATAGGTTGGAAATCAAGAA